TGACACCGTGTTCTTGATCCCTCCTTCAGCAGGGCAGTAGAGGGTCGTAGTGAGGCATAGAGTGATTGTGTGCTTGTGCCTGTGTCTGTTTCCGATTCCCGGGGGTATTTGGGCACAGAGCTCGAGCGGACGATATCTAGCATTCAAAAGAAGACTCCCAGAGAGTGAATCTATCACAGGAGGGGAGAAAGATGCCACGGGAGCCTTTTCAAGTGGCTTTTTATGATTCCTCAGATGATGAGCAGAACGAGCAAGTGGCACAGGTTGTGCCGGTGGTGGATGGCGTGTCGCCGCAGACCACCCCGACCACAAGAGATGAGAATGATGATAATCAAGAACAAGAACAACGCCGACAACAACAACGGATGTCTTCATGGCTTGGTCGAATTGCCAATCGTACTACGGCGTTCCTTTCTTACGCCTTTGGTGGCCGGAATGAGCTAAATACTGATGCTCCAATGGATGCAGAGAGTCCAGAGAAAGAGTCGAATGACAGCGGTCGGTGGGGGTACAGGGCACACCGCGATGTGGCGGCCCGGTCAGTTGAGTTGAATAACGCCGAGTCGTTTGCACCTTCAGAGGAGATTGCGGTAGACCTCCGTGAGACGATCCTTCAGTACAAACGCACACCTGATGATGTTTATATGCGCATCATACTTGCTGCGCTTAATTATGGAGAGATTCAGGTTGGTGGGGATCTGTTCCGTGCCGCCTATGGCAATCATGAACTCATGAAGGTACTAATGGAGTCTGGGAAGGTAAACTATGCTGACCCCTATGTACAGGAGATCATCCAAAAAGAGATTAACTCGATGGTTGTGCCTGATGCAGCGTGTGGTGGCCGGATTTCCCCTGAAAAGATTGGGTATCTGGCGTTGCTTTGCCACGCTCCCAGTGCGACGCTCACAAAAGAACAGGCGTGTCTCTTCCGCCACGCTGGCTTTGAGTTTGTCAAGATGCTACACGAGAACCCGCACTTGCTGCGTAATCTACCACCGCCTCGGTGGATTGTGGCACGCATATTGGATGTTTGCTACTTTCTTGACATGGTAGTAACCTGGCTTGGACTAATGGCCACACTGGTAAATTTGGCTTGTGTTGGGTGGATTGCGCACTTTTGGCTGGCCACCGGTCCGCTTAAGTGCGGTTATTGGACGATTTTGGGCTATGTTGTTGGCTATGTTGTGAGCATTGTTGCAGTGATGGTGTCTGAGGAGGGCAGGATCCGTGATTACGAGGACCGACTCTGGGACTACCCAGATAACACTCTCAAGGTTATTCCCTGCATTCCGCTGTTTGAAATAGCCCTCATGTACGTCACATTACGTTACGAGATTCTGCGAGACAAGGCAAAATATTTTGTGATCCGGTACGACCTATACAATGGCTTGTCAAATGTGCTTATTATTCATACGCTTTTATTTGCAACACCACAATTTCTTCTTCAGTATTATATTGGTGAGTTAAGTGACCCCCATGTTACTGATTTTGATGGATATAAACTTCTTACTGCGGTAAATTATGTCTTGTATGGAATGTCGTTGTATCTATGCGTGAGGAAAATTTTCTTCAATTATTCGTGCGATAGTTTCGGATTTGCCATGATGGCTGTGAGCCGGGCGTTGGGAACACCTTTTGGTACCGCCACCCGTATGCTTATCGTTATGACTATTTTTTACCTTGAGTATAATATAGGTGCTTATGTGGTGTCTTTAATGTATGTTGGAGATTGCTCGGTTGAACTCTATATTGTGCTGATTTTTGCCGGTATTTTAACGGCTTTGGAGATCGCCGGGTTGGTAATGATGTTTGTTTTTGAAGTTTCACTTTTAATTGGTTTTGTGTGTACGGTTGTCTTGGTGATGGAGATCAGTTTTAGTTCTTATGTTGCTGCAAATAAGCTGAGTGCGGATGATGCGTTATGTATGTCCTTTGTTCTTAATGCTAAAACCGTAACTCCTTTATTTTATGTTACTTTTGCAGTATTTTGCATCACTTTTGTTTCCTGGGTTGTAGTTGAGATATTTAATCGAGTTACTGGTCGCCAGGTGCTTTCGTACTGGGAAAATTACTACTATTGGTCTCGTTTAAAGTGGTAGTTTTTTTTTTGTTTTGATTTTATTCCCTGATGTGCATGTAGAATAATAAGAGAGTTAAAATAGTAATGTGAATTCTTAAAATAATGTTATTATTATTATTATTATTATTATTATTATTATTAT